AAGGAAGACACTTGGGTTGCTCAGCCTCTGCTAAATACAACTGGAGAGCAAATAGAAGTATAGCCAAACTGTTTCATTCAAAGACACTGGAAGTATAAACTATAGCCTAACAGCACTTTATAGGCTTATGTATTACACTCCCCGCTGTTGCATATGTATTTTATTTATTCCCACTTAGATGGGAATGTGATTTGTGAGCCTTAACTGTGTTTAATGTTAAATTAAACAGTTACATTGTGTGGGAGTATATGCTTAAGTTTCCTTTCAGCATATTTTTGAGCATTCAGTACCTTTGAGGTTTTACTGAAGAATATTCTCGACTTGTCATTGTATTTTTCACTGTTTTGGATTGTTGCAATAAAAATGTACATTGATCAAGTAAAAGGATGTAACTAATCATTGCTGTTAACGTCAAAAAACTTGCTAAACTGTCCATCTGAGAGATATAATCTCCCCGGCATGTCCTGTGTCTGCCCCAAGACCTCCTCCCGGTGGGACATGCCTGGAACATCTCACTCAGGAGGCATCCTTGTCAGATACCCAGGCCACCTCAAGTGGCTCCTTCCAATGTGGAGGAGCAGCAGCTCTATTCTGAGCTGCTCAAAGATAGCCAAACTCCTCACCCTATCTCTAAGGGAGAGGCCAGCTACCCTCCGGAGGAAGCTCATTTCTGCCGCTTCTACCTACGATCTTGTTTTTTCAGTCACTACCCTCATGACCATAGGTGAAGTTAGGGATGTAGATCGACCGGTATAATGAGAGCTTCGCTTTTACATTCTCTCTTCACTATGACAGACATGTACAGCGTCTGCATCACTGTAGCTGCAGAACCAATCTGTCTGTCGATCTCCGGCTGCCCTCTCCCTTCACTCGTGAACAAGACGAGATACTTAAACTCGTCAACTTGGGGCAGTAACTCACCCCCGACCCAGAGTGGTAATTCCACCCTTTTCTGGCTGATGACTATGACCTCAGACTTGGAGGTGCTGATGAACCACATCATCTGCAAAAAGAGGATACGAGATTCTGAGAGCAAAGTGGAAGCCTTTTGCCACTTGACTACTGCTATAAATTCTGTCCATAAAATTTATGATCAGAATCAGCCCTGATGGAGTCCAACACCCACCAGCAACATGTCTAACTTATTTGCCAGCTATGCAGACCAAGGTCTTGCAATAGAAGTATAAGGATTGATCGGCTCTTAGAAACCCCATACTCCCAGAGCATCTCTCAGGACACTCTGTGGACACGGTCAAATGTGCTTTTGAGACTGAGATCACTACAATCACTCTAGATCTCTAATATTTATTCTATCCTTTATCATCGTATCATCATAAATACAAAATATAATAAAAACTAAACTGAAACTAGCAAACCCACTCTGTCTGTGGGAGTGGGTTTGCTTCAGGCCTATCTTTTCCTGTGTTATGACAGATTTTTCTTACCATTGTGTAATTAACTGTTATTTCATATCTGCTACAGGTAGATTTTCTGAATGAGCCTTGCTTTCAAGCAAGGAAAGATTTTTCATTGGTGGAGATTTGATAGACCAGTGTCCATAAAATTTTATGCTTTTTCCACATCAATGATGTCATCCTGGGCTATGGAAAATATGTTTTTTCTATGTGCAGCCAAAAAAAAGAAGAAGAAGAAATAACTGTCTTACAGCAGCCGATTAAACAGAAAATACAAAAAGGTTTACACCGTAGTAATTCAAAATCTGGCACAAATAGGAGATTAAATATAAAATGAATGCCGGTATTGTAACCCACACAGGAACAAAAGTATAGATACACGCCTATTAAATGTTTTGGTAGCCTACACCAGGGGTGTCCAACTCCAGGCCTCAAGAGCCAGTGTCCTGCAGGTTTTAGATGTGTCCTTGATCCAACACGGTAGATTTAAATGGCTAAATTACCTCCTCAACATGTCTTGAAGTCTATGAAAGTCTATGTCTATAAAAATGTAAGAGCACGTGTCAGCTGACTTTCTAGAAACTAAATGATCATCTACAATTATTCCAACTCACTTGTCTTCATGGTGGGACTGTTTAACCTTTAAGAAAACATCATATCATGTTAACTGTAAACACAGAGAAATATTTGGGAAGTAGAAAGTAATTTACGCTGTCACAATAAAAAGTGTGGTTTAAAAAACCACAACGAAACCTCCACAGCGAAAACCCAGCAAAAAAAGCATTTCCTTCTGAATTATAATGGACTAAACTGCAGTAAAATACAGGAACTTTAAATGTGTACATAAGCGTAGTATTTGGGTATTTTTTTTGAAAGAACTTAAAAAAGACACATGTTAGCACAAGGTTTTTAAGGTGTTGTTCCTCTTTGTGAATTTCAACATGCACTTAAAATGTAAAATACCTAAAAATAACTAATGCAGTTTGTGACATTTAGAAGCATGTGGGGAAAAGTGTTTGAAGAGGATCAGGTATTTCACTGAAGACCTTCGTGCTCTTGCTGAATGTGGGCGCTACACGTGGGTTGCTTTGAGGTTATACGAAGGTTTTAGGTCAAAGGGGCTTATTTTATACCGAAGACCGATGCAAGAAAGGAAAAGCTGTGCATTTGAACCACTGAAATAGGCCACGATGCACAGACTATAAATGCAATTGCTTACTATAAACTTTCCACCAAAGCCACCTCATGTCTTGGTTACATATTTCTCATTTCTCATTTCTGGTTATTACACATAAACTACCGCAAGTGGCAATCGGCTCTAGCTTGATACAGAAGGGGAAGTCCACACAAGTGTATTAGGTGTTGACTGACAAAAGACAAAGACAGAAAAGTCAGTAAATCAGTGCATTTCTGCGTGAGTGAGCGAAGAGTCTGTATCCATCAGGTCAGGCGTCTACCCATTATAACAGCCAAGGCTGTCATGGTCCTCCCGTGCATCGCTGCCATTCTCTCTCTCCTTCTTTATCACTATGAGTGTGTGGATGTGTTTGTACATGTGTGCCTAACCATGCTTTGTCTTGCAAGGGTTTGATCCTTCCAGAATTCCCACCTTCCACTTGGGCACACCTGACACAATCAAGCTCACCTGTTTGTCATGTGCTGATCAACCTGCCACTACTTATACTGGGAGAGATCCTTTAGTCTGCGTCTGAGTGTTGAATTAGCCATGTTATTGAAACCTGCTCGAGTCTGCAACTCTGCCGCTTGTGTTCCTCTACGATTATTCACCTGTCCCTCTCTTCTGTGGAGAAGTTATCCTGCTGAGAGAAATCTGTGCGAGAGCGAGGGGTAGAGAAAATTTTGTTCCTCTTCACGTGCGATTGGAGCTCAGACCTCATTAATGGATTTTCCTCTACAACGACCTTGTAAATCGAGACTGTATGATTTGCGTTCATGAGCACTGCAAATAAACTCATTCAATTATGACAAAGTAATGTGATGGTTACACAAAGTAACACATTACTTGAGTTTGCTTTCATAGGTTATTAACATGGAGAGAAAACAGGGAGTTATGCATTCTGCAGCCCGGATTCCTGGTTATTGCATAGAAACTATCTCAGGTGTTTCCAGGTTTTAAAAGACAGCAATTGACAGAATATTGACACAGTTACCTTCAAACACATGCTGGGGATGTAAGGTACGTTTAATTTCGTCATCATAATATAATAAAACGTTTCTAATATATTAAAGCATCAACCAGTATTAACTTATTGTTATGAGGTTACTACCACTTTAAAGTTAGTATATAAAACTGTACATGCATAGATATCACTATTTTATTCCTAGCAGTTATATATTCTTATTAATATATTACACTATATATTATAATATTTCTGATTTGCATTGCTTCACAGACATTATTACATCCAGTTTATGACCCCATATTACCCAAATAAATAAACTGCAATTTAATATTATGCAGTTCAAACCATTATTGCTGTATTACTTGGTTATTACATGAATGTTACTTTAATAATTAAGTGGTAGCTAATGACACCATGTCAACAGAAATACCGGTTCCTTCTTCAGTTCCCATGACTTCCTCCTACTCATGTCACAGGACTCTCACCTGTCACTGTTTAACTATTAGCAGCACAGAACTTCCAAAGCTGGATGTTTTCACCGCAGAAAACAACAGCACGCAAGCAGATCTGGCACATGTGCTCATTTTATTTCAGCATTTATATGAAACTACAAAATCCTATCTTACATTTACAAAGAATATAAAATTAAAATATTACACAAGCTTTTAAAACTGAGCTGATATTGCTGTTGTTTAACAACATATTTGTCATTTGCAGGAGGTTCCACGAGACGGACGTCAGTGGAAGATAAAAGAGTGAAGTGTTTCTTTAGCTGGCATCCACCGTGTGCGTAAAAAGCTCAGATGGTTTTCTTTTTCCGCCCCTGTGAGCTGTGCTGGTGGATTTTCAGTGCTTTATTCCTAAAATGACAATAGATGGAGTTACTTCTCTTGCTGTTTTTTTTTTTAGAAAATCAGAACACTTGCTCTTTATTCTGTTTCTAAAAATCTCACCTACATTAAAATAAAGCAATATGTAAATATTTTTACACCCACAGTAAACACTAATTTTGTCTCAAGTATTTTTTGATCTCTAAAGCAGTTTGTTAAAATAATTTTAAAGATGCTCACATGATGGCATTGATGGGACACATCTCTGTATCAGTCTGGACTGAGTACCCCTTGATGATGGAGTCCTGTAACCTGCCTATCATGTACCTTCGACAGCAGTGACGATAAGCTAGGAAGAGTAAAATATAATATCTGTATCTGCCAGATCCCAGTAGTGGAAATGCTGATGTGTAAGTGTAGGTGATTAAGGGAGAAAAGACAAAGAAAAAAAAGAAACAAAGACAAGTACATATCAGCAAATGTGCTTGCAGGCAGACAAACAGTAAGTGTGATCACCACCACAGCTTTAATTGGCAGCATGTCTTCTGTGTTAGT